TGCCTTATAATAAATCATATGGACTATATTCTTGCCCAACTCGCCTGATCAAATGCGCTTATTGTATCTTAAGCCAACCTCTTGCTGATCTAATTAACATCTTTGTGAGTTGTGGTGTTCACCCACCTCAATTGAAACACGCCAAAGTTGTCCCAATTTACAAGGCTGATGACGACACAGAGCCCGGGAACTACAGGCCCATCTCTTTGCTTTTAACCGTATCTTTGAAAAAGTAATGTATAACCGCCTTATTGCCTTTGTCAAAAAAAATGATCTACTATATAAATCACAATACGAATTTCGTGACAAGCATTCCTGCCATCATGCTCTACTCAAAATTGTCAACAGAATTCAAACCAACATGGATAAGAAGTTATTTTCATGTGGAATATTTTTATATTTTGAAAAAAGCTTTTGATACTGTTGATCATTCCATTCTCTTGTATAAGTTATACCACTACGGAATAAAAGGAAATGTGAATGATTGGTTTTCCTTTTACCTCTCCGACCGTTTTCAATCCACTCAAATTGACTCTACATGTAATATCTCACACAAGAGGAAAATTTCTTTTAGTGTACGCCACAAGGATCTGTTCTCGGCCCACTTCTCTTTCTAATCTATATAAACGATATCCCCAATTCCTCTGAAATTGTTGATTTTCATCTCTTTGCTGACGATACCAACTTAAGATAAGTTGATAAAAGTCTGAAATCACTGGAGAGTGTTGTTAATAATGAGCTGAAAAATGTTACTGACTGACTAAATACCAACAAATTAAATTTAAATACTAAGAAATCTAATTATGTAATCTTCCGCCCCTCACGAAAGAAACTAAACTCAACTATTGACTTAAAAATAATTGATAACAATACTAACACTATCACTTCCATGGAATACAATGTATAAGGAATATGTAAGTACTTGGGTGTCCTAATATTGACAGTACTCTAGGTTGGAAACATCATTTTACTAAATACATAGTTTGCAAAATAAGTAAAACTGTCTATTATTCTCCGATTTTCCCTATATACACTGTGGCATAGTTACTTGGGGTCAAGCTGCTGAAACTCATATGAACAAAATTCTTCTTTTACAAAAGAGTGTTCTTCGATTAATTTTATATATGGTATAGAATAAAGAGCTCATACTATACCACTATTTATTTTTGCAAACATTTTACTGGTTAGCATGTTGTACCTTAAAACTGTGGCTGCCCGAATGCATGATGTATCATCTGGCATTACACCCTCTAAAATATCAAATCTCTCTACTCAATCTCATAAAATTCACACATACAATATGAGATTTTCTAATGCTGGTAATTATCATGTCAACAAATCAAGGCTTAACCAACAACTCTCTTCATTTTCAAGACTTGGTCCTAAAGTATGGAATAGTCTTCCATGTAGCTTGCGCTCATTGCCTAAAAGGTCTTTAAGCAAAAAAGTCTGTACACTTTTGTTAAAATTACTCAACAATGAAAACAATTATGACTCTAAAAAAACGATTGTTGCTAAATGACTGCTGGACTTATGGAACTAAAACAGCACCTTCTATATGTATTTACATCTCAATAACCTACTGAAAACTATTCATACTTTCATTTACTTTATTTGCTTC